ACGAGAGAGAGCGAGAGAGACGACGAGAGATGATCAGGAGAGAAGAGAGAGAGAGAGAGAGCGAGAGAGAGAGGAGGAGGAGGGATGAGAGGGGAGTGATAGCGGACGAGAGGGAGCAGGGAGAAGAGGGAGACGAGGTGCGCGGGAGAGAGGGACGAGAGCAGAGCACGAAGAGAGTGCAGGGAGCATGAGAGAGAGCTGCATCAATTTCACGATCGATGCGCACGCTGCGAAACGCCGTTCGTCTTTTTGCTGCGCGGACAGCGCGGCGAGTGAAAAGCCTCGCATCGTGTTTTTTTTAATAAGCTAAAATTGCGCGCTCGACGAGCGGATTGGACGTCCGCGGTGATAGTACGGGCCGATGAGCTCAGGCAGGACTCGAAACCAGCGTAGTCAGTGATTGCAGTAGTCAGGGCAGCCCAGTACAGGGCAGCCCATAGCAGGGTAGCAGTAACAGGGAATCCCAGTACGCAGGGGCAGCCAGTAGCAGCGGCAGCCAGTAAGCAGGGGCAAGCCTAGAACAGGGACAGCCCCAGCTAGCACGGCAGCTAGAAATAGGACAGCCAGTAGCAGGGCTAGCAGAAAACGCGGCAGGCCAGCAGTAGCAGGCAGCCAGTAGCCATGGCAGCCCTAGGAACAGGACACCCAAGTAGCCTGGCAGCTAGAACAGGACAGCATCCTAGCAGGCAGCCAGTAGCATGGCAAGCCCTAGTAGTAGGGGCAGTCTAGAGACAGCACGGCAGCCCAGTAGCAGCGGCAAGCCCAGTTAGTAGGGCAGCCCAGTAGCGAGGGAGTACAAGATAGGTGGACAGTCCAGAATTGGGCTACTCGGCTGACAGGGGCTAGTCACTGACAGGGCAGGCCAGTAACCGTGGAATGGACCAAATGATTGCATCATGAACACATTGACCGGTATGGAACGAGCCACATATGTTGATTATAAGTTAATTTTGGCAGTATCTGTCGTTGTTGTTTGCAGAGCCATTGTAACAGCTTCTCAATCGCACCTGCATGC